AATGATTCATGAAGCAGAAGAGCAGTGATTTAAGTAGTGAATTAATTTAGAAGAAAACTCAGTCTGTAAATGCATTTACAACTGTCAAGAAGTAGTTCATGAAGTGGAAGTAGTGAATTTACTCTAAGATAAAAGAAAGAACTAGGCTATTAATGGCCAAAGCTCACAAGAAAAAGAGAAAACTAAACTATTAGTGGTCAAAGTCCACAGTAACAAAAGAAAGAAAATAAGAGAGCAACTCTAAGAATTGAAAGAATAAGTCTTGTGTGTCTGATAGACACAGTTATTACATCTGTTTCTATCAAGAAAACTTATGACACACTGCCTCAATGAGAGATTTAAGTTACTTCAGTATGCTGTACATGACTGCTGAAGATAATTGTCTGTCATGATGATCAGAACTTCTTCCCAGAGCTGAGCTCTATTTCTCAGTCAAACAGAGTCTGTTGAATCAGTAAGAGTTGTAAATTAAAGAAGAAGAAAAGCAAGAAGTCATCTCTTATGATCAGATGAATTCTGATCTGAAATTAAGAGTGGAAGATGACTCATAGTAACTGATGTTCTGGTCAGTAAGTTAACAGTCAGGGCAGGAGCTGAGAGAGCAGAAGCAGAAGCAGAAGCAGACACAGTAGACAGAGAAGAAGTTGATGAGACTGACTTCTAGAGAAAAACAAAAGCATTAGCTGAAACTCTCAATATCACTTCATAAATGAATTTACAAAGCAGAAACTGTCTTATAAGTCATGTTACAAAGCAACTCAACATATCTTGAGTGCATTGAAGACAGAACCAATGCTTGAGAATGGACACAGCATAGAAAAGAGCACAGATCAAGAACATGGATGCAGTAGAAACAGATCAGATCAAGAAAAACAGAGTGATGCATTATCAATAAGAATTTCAGATTTGAGAGATGAATGGCCATTCTCTCTCAAGATCTGACCAACTGAGGCAATGGAGCTAGTAGTCAAAAAAGAATCATTACTAAACACAGTAGACATCATTGAGTGTTTCTGTCAAGCTTGAATATTAGCATCCTGAATATGTCATCAGCCATGCACACAGAAAAGAGAATTATGGAGTGAGGAAACACTTCATAAAGAATATTTCAGACTTTGTAAAAGCAATTATGAAGCATTAAAAGAAGAAGAAATGAAAGAATATCACTTACATCATCATAATCAGAATCAGACTGACTGAGCTGTGACATCTGAAAAGAGATCTCAAAGTCTTCAGAGACATAACTCTCTGTTGCATAAATGAAAACTGATGGCAATGATGCCCCTTCACTTTAATTTTCTTGAGAAATGACAGTAGTTGAGAACTCTGCTTTAGATGAAGCAGAAGATTCTGAAGACATCTCTTGCATTGCTTCTGAAAAGAATCTTAAATGATAACTGATTGAAGTTTTACTCTCAAACTTATTAAGTCATTGTTGCTCACATTTCAACATCTTAATTTGAATGAAAGAGAGACACAGCAAATTATCTCTCTGCATAATGTATTAGCACTGAGAAAAGTCTTTACAAAGTCTTTCAAGATTCATAATCATCAAGAAGAGAATGCTTGTCTAGAACTCTTATCAAAATAAAGAAAAATGTTGTTGAAAAAGAAAAAGAAAGAGAGAGAGAAAGAAGATCAAGAAAGAGATATTTATATTCAAGAGATTGTTAAGTATCACTAGATGAATTATAGAAAATGACAGTCACTACAGCAACTACATTACAATCACAGAGAAGCTGTCACTCTTGCTGTGATCTTACTGTCACATCTACATCTAGAAACTGAGATTGAATTAAGACTCTGCACTGTGATCTTCTTATATTCATCACATCAAAAAGAGATTTTGTACAAAATTATTGCAATCACAGTGGAGCTGTCACTCTCACTGTGATCTTGATCACATTAACATCTTGAGAATCAAGACTTGTGAAGAGAGAAGAATTTGTAAGACTTCATGCTGCAGTCTTCTTACATTCATTCCATCATCTAAAAGAGATTCATAAAACCTTCTTGATGCTTAGATGATCATGCTTCACAACATCTGAGATTCATAAATCTCATAACTGATCACATAATCACACTAGCAAAGCTGAACACACAAAATCTGCCACAGACACTTCTTTATGAAGATCAGTGGCAACATATCTAGAGACTCTAGATACTGTTGTAGTAATATAAGTTATCTCTCTCTCTCTCATGCTTAGATCCCTTTGTAACCACTTCTCACTCAACCTAACCACATTTATGAAGGCTGTAAGCCATTGCCATGTTACCTGCAACCACCAATCCTCACAGAAAGTGCAGTGAAAAGCATAGTGTCAAGAACATTGCTCAACAGATTGATGACAATCAGTGTAAGATGAATTGTCAACAGTCAACCTGAATAATTGGCCTGAAGATTACAGATGATTACTAATATTTTTTTCCTCATTCAGATTTTAGTTAACTACAACTTGGGACTCACTGATCTTTTGTCAAAAATTTTCCAGTTCTGAATGAAAATGCCATGACGGTCAATAAATATTGAACCATACCACACAGAATTAATTAATCTTTTTCAGAGTGGGCATAGTTCTGAGAACTTGGTACATTATCTTCTTCAACAGCATGATATTAGAGTCACTCTGTGGATGCTCCAGAGTTGTTTTCAGTCATGAGGAGTGAAGAAGAATTCTGACTATGTGCACTTCAATTCACAGCTACAACTGGATTTACATGCTCATATACACCATCTTTACTGTAACATTCAGTTAACAGATAAAGAGATTCTTAGTGCATTAAATGATGAGGGCTACAATATTAAGCTCCATACACTGCAGCAATTGCAAACTCAGATTCAGCTCTCTTGATGTGTGAATATTGTGACATTCACAACCCAGAAGGCAAATCTTCAAGAGAAGATGATTGTGGAGTTAGAGAGAGATGTTGTTGAGAGATATGGCACATGAATGCTACACACTCATCTATGAAGGCAAGAAACTATAATATCATGGTTAGAATCTCTTTCTCTGCTGCTGAGATTTACACTGACAATTTAACCCATGAAGAAATCACTTACATGAAATGCTGCAAGAAATAGCACCTGATCTCATGGCCACCAGACTTCAGAATCTACAGCAGCACCAGGAGGTCTATATTGTATCAGAATCAGATTATGTCTGGTCTGTAGATGATTATTTAAAACTGACAGAGTTTGGTATTGAGATATATGCTTCAATTGATGCATATGCCAGATATATAATATGGTCTTATGTTGGGATCAGTGCACACACTGCAGTCAGTTGTTTAAAACAGTACTTGGCAACAATCAAGCACACTAAGAAGCAGCCAGTGGTTATATGATCAGACAGAGAGACTGAAACAAGTCTGATGGCAGCAGCACATTGACATCTTCAAAGAGCTACAGATGAAATTGCTCTCTCTGAGTGCTATTACTTTGATATCAGTGTTGCAAATCAGTGTATTGAATCATGATGAGGCCAGCTCACCAAAAATCTGCTGTTCAGATGATGTGTACATACAACTTGATTTTCATATATGAGCAGTGATCAACATAGCTAACTTGAGACTTGAATGACCAGACATATTTTCATCATCTGAAGAAGAAGAACTGCTTCAGTATGAACTCAGTTTCTGATCAGATAGCTCTTCTGACTCTGTATCTGCCATTAATTCAATGGGAGATAGCCTCCTTTGTTGATTCATGAAATTCACATACAATCTGAAAACAGCCACAACAGCACCATGTAGTATCAGGCAAGCCAACATGAAATTATTTATACCCATCTCTCAATGTCCAACAGTATGGTCTGGAATATGATGATGAAGCACTTGAGGCATTAGAAAATGATGTTGAACAGTGAGGTATGTTTTGCCTTTTTGACTACATGTTGTGTTAACTATTCTAACACACTGATTCAGATATGGATGAGTATCTACCTCCACATACATTATTATGGTGCCATCAAAAGCTACATCAGTTTGGTTATGACTACACTAAAGAAGTTGTATTGAAAACAGACTCTTTTGATGGCTCTACATATAAGACAGCATATATGTGACTATGAGAGCAAATAGATAATCACAGACATCAAGATATATCATTCACACTTGTTCTGGCCAATCATTCTGATGGTGCTTTTGGATGGATGTCTAAAAATATGGCACAGCAGACAGCAGCTTGCAATACAAATGAATAAATTCTTACTATTAGCATATATTATTGTGTAAAATCTCTAAAAGAAGGTTTTTTAGTGGATGATTAGTTAGTTAACTAACTCCTCACTAACTGAACTTACTAAGCTGTTATTTCACATTAGCTACCACACACACAGGAAAATGAGAATCATCATAGTGATCACTTTGCAATAACATGACAAGATGACATCTTGAGCAAATTCCCCCTTTTGCCCAACCACTGGCTTGAAGCATGATGAAAATATGATCAAATGTTCTGCATGTGGTATTCAAAACATCATTGCTACATCAACAAAACAGACTAAAACTGAAACAATTGAGAAATTGAATTCAAAACATCATCACTCCCCTTTGACCTTTTCCCTTTCTTCTGGCGCTGAGGTTATTGATCTTTTAAGCCCACCAAAATCTAAGGGGCTACATGTGCCACAATCAACTTATTTCTCAACAATAAGACCCCTGCAGAGAAAGGTGGAGGTAGCACATCAAGAATCAATTTCAAGAAGTCCTGAAAAGGGAAAGAAGTTATTTGTATCTGAAGTTGAAGTGGTACCAACATTTCTATACATTCTGCAATTTAGGAATGATGATGATATGACAATGAAAGAATTGCTATTGCTTGATATGTTCATTGTCATTCTTACTTTTTCCACTGTTGACAAAATCATTTACTAACAATGTGGCCCAGATACAACAGCTGTGTCAATTCAAAGAAATCAAGAAGTGAATGGATTTCAGAGATTTTGTTCCATGATTATATCTCAGTTTAATAATTATGTCTGGCAACCTGGAGACAAGCAATGATTGTCACTTGGCTTGCAGAAGATAAAGGGAAAGCAAGTACCCTGTTACTTATCAAAGAAACCAGAGAAATATGAAGCAACAACAGCAGATGTGATTCTGGATAAATACTTCTTGACAAAAATACAAGGATCAAGTCAATATCATATCACTTTGATCATAAGACAAAAAATTGAAGAGAAAAAGATTGAGATACTGGACAAAAATGAGTCAATGGAGAAGAATGATCACACTGCTGTGAAAATTGAACCATTAGATGATGGCCAGATGAAAGCAATGATTGGAAAATCTGCAACAAAAGACTTGTTAAGTTCATGTGTGAAGGTGCAATCTGAAGATATGTCTGATTACACATTAAAAGAGAATGATGAAAGCAATGATGACACATGATTAAATTTTTGAAATACCAAAATGAATTCACAGTCTTCTCCACATTCAGAATCTTTACTGCAGACACAAAACACAGAAAGTCTCAACACTGCTGCAGTAATTGCTTCAATGCCACATGTATCTGAAGTGGTGGACAAGCTGTTCATGCAAAATCCAGACAAGGCAATCATTCTCAAAAAGCTGACAAAGCTTAAAATAAGTTGAAAATGATCAAGTACTCTGGAGCTGCATCATGCTCCAACTTGCAACACACAATCTCAAAGTAAGAGAACTGGAGCTGAATAGAATTCTTGTTGGTATGGTTTTTGAATTACTTACAACCAAATTCAACATTTGAGGGCATATGGAGATGGAATTACATAAACAATCAATATATATGAAATATGTGGATGCAAGCAACACCACAAATGTAACTAGTGAGAATCTATTGAACTAAGTATATAAAGTTGACAAAAACTATTTCTTGATGATTAACATAATTGTCTCTATTTTATTATGGCAGCTGAACTGCAGCTGAAGTGTCACTCTTGACCATGCTGAAGTGTCACTCTCAATTATGGTCAAGAGATGTGGTGATGGCAGCTGAACTGCAGCTAGAGTGTCACTCTTGATCATGCTGAAGTGTCACTCTCAATCATGGTCAAGAGATGTGATGATGACAGCTGAACTGCAGCTGAAGTGTCACTCTTGATCATGGTCAAGATGTGTGATGATGACAGCTGAACTGCAGCTGAAGTGTTGCTCTTGATCATGATCAAGATATGTGATGATGACAGCTGAACTGCAGCTGAAGTGTTGCTCTCAATCATGATCAAGATGTGTGATGATGGCAGCTGAACTGCAACTGAAGTGTCACTCTCAATCATGCTGAAGTGTCACTCTCAATCATGATCAAGAGATGTGATGATGACAGCTAAACTGCAGCTGAAGTGTTACTCTTGATCATGCTGAAGTGTTGCTCTCAATCATGGTCAAGAGATGTAATGATGCAGCTGAACTGCAGCTGAAGTGTCACTCTTGACCATGATCAAGAGATGTGGTGATGACAGCTGGACTGCAGCTGAAGTGTTGTTCTTGACCATGCTGAAGTGTCACTCTCAATCATAATCAAGAGATGTGATGATGGCAGCTGAACTGCAGCTGAAGTGTTGCTCTTGATCATGCTGAAGTGTTGCTCTCAATCATGATCAAGAGATGTGATGATGACAGCTGAACTGCAGCTGAAGTGTCACTCTCAATCATGCTGAAGTGTCACTCTCAATTATGATCAAGAGATGTGATGATGACAGCTGAACTGCAGCTAAAGTGTCACTCTTGATCATGCTGAAGTGTTGCTCTCAATCATGGTCAAGAGATGTGATGATGACAGCTCAACTGCAGCTGAAGTGTTGCTCTTAATCATGCCAAAGTGTCACTCTCAATCATGATCAAGAGATGTGATGATGACAGCTGAACTGCAGCTGAAGTGTCACTCTTGACCATTGTAGAGTGGCAGTCTCAATCATGATCAAAAGATGTGATGATGACAGCTGAACTGCAGCTGAAGTGTTGCTCTTGACCATACTGAAGTGTCACTCTCAATCATGGTCAAGATGTGTGATGATGACAGCTGAACTGCAGCTGAAGTGTCACTCTTGACCATGCTGAAGTGTCACTCTCAATCATGGTTAAGAGATGTGATGATGGCAGCTGGACTGCAGCTGAAGTGTCACTCTTGACCATGCTGAAGTGTTGCTCTCAACCATGGTCAAGATGTGTGATGATGACAGCTGGACTGCAGCTGGAGTGTTGCTCTTGACCATTGTAGAGTGGCAGTCTATAAGATAGATGCTAAAGAATAATGTATCAAATCTACAGTGTAAGAAAGATAACTAAGTTGCACTTATATTATCAAAGTAATATTACTATATGTGCAGTAAGAGAAGAACTCATTGCTGATCTTTTATAACAGAAAATCAGTATGACTTTAAAAGTTTAAGTACTAGTGAGATTAGAGCTACACTAACTATTAAGATACTAGCTTCTGGAGAAGATCTAGTCTACAGTGAACATAATATAAAAAGATTTATAGAATCTCTTTCATACTTAGATGATTATACTTCTTATCATTCAAGACTCTTAAATTTTATAACTGATCACATGATTTCATTAGCACAGCTGAACACATAAGATCTGTCATAGATGCTTCTTTACAAAGATTAGTGATCACTGATAATAGATCTAGAAACTTTAAATACTGTTGTAGACTTGTAGCAATATAAATTATCTCTCTTTTTTATACTTAAATCTCTTCATAATCATCTTTCACTTAAATTAATCTCACAGTCTCACAGCTCACTTATGAAGACTGATGAACCATTGTCATGTTATCTGCAACTTCATTCTTACATTATTGAATTTTGAAAGAAGATTGAAATCAACTAAATTGAATTTAACTTTCAGTTCTGTTTCATTGAGATTTCTTGGAAATTTCAACAGTCAGTCTATCTAATCTTTATAAGAGAGAATCAGTATGACTATAAGTATTAGTGAGATTAGAATTACACTAACTATGAAAAACTAATTCTTACAGTAGATTTAGTTTATAGTGAGTGTCATGCCCACTGTAGACTAGGTCTGCCCTAGAGGCAAGTATCTTAATAGTTAGTGTAGCCCTAACCTCACTAGTACTTAAAGCCATGCTGGCCTTCTCCCACAGAAGGTCAGTAATGAGTTCTTCTCTTACTGTGCATATAGCAATACTACTTTGATACTATAAGTGCAACTTAGTTATCTTTCTTCAACTGTAGACTTGATACATTGTCCTTTAGCACCTATCTTATAGGCTGCCACTCTACAGTGAGTATGATAATTTTATACATTTTCTAATTTAATTAGTTTCTTTTTATATTTTCTATAATCTTTTTTTTCTTCTCTTTTTAAATTTTCTCTTAATGGTCAAAATAATCTTTTTGTTTAAATTTAAGATATTTAAAAAGTTTATAGAAATTGTTTTATAATTAAATTTTTATTTATAAATTTGTCATCTAATCTTCTTTAAAGTAGAAACTGAAATTTCAGTGATTCTAAAAATTTAATGAAATATTAAAAGTATAGTTATTTATAAAGTGATGGTCTATAAAATGCATATTAAAAAATAATATTGTGAGAATTGAATTGCAGATAATGTGACAATGATTCATCAGTTTTCATAAGTGAAAGTAATTTGAGTGAGAGATGCTCAGATAATTATAAAGAGATCTAAGTATGAGAGAGAGAGATAACTTATATTACTACAATAGTATCTAAAATTTTTAGATCTATTGCCACTGATCTTTGTAAAGAAGCATGTGTGATAGATTTTGCATATGATCAGTTATAAAATTTATAAACTCTGAATGACAAGAAGCATAATCATCTAAGCATAAAAGAAATTTTATAAATATCTTTGAAATGATGAAATAAATGTAAGATGATCACAGCACAGAGTCTTATAAATATATTAAGTCTACAGTATAAGAATGTCATGCTCACTGTAGACTAGATCTTCTTCAGAAGCTAGTATCTTAATAGTTAGTGTAGCTCTAATCTCACTAGTACTTAAACTTTTAAAGTCATACTAATCTTCTGTTATAAAAGATCAGCAATGAGTTCTTCTCTTACTGCACATATAGTAATATTACTTTGATAATATAAGTGCAACTTAGTTATCTTTCTTACACTATAGATTTGATACATTATTCTTTAGCATCTATCTTATAGACTGCCACTCTACACTTTAAACTGATGAAATAAATGTAAAATGAATACAGTATGAAGTTTTATAGATTCTCTCTTCTTTATAAATCTTGATTCTTTACTGTCTTTAAATTTAAGTTTTAATAGTTCACTTATATTTATAACTCTTCATT